AATGATGGACATAAATTAGGATCGATCAGAATCATATAAATCCATGTCTTCATCTATTTTCAAAATATCTTCGTTTTCAGTAGATTGAAAAGATTTCTCTCTCAAGTGCTTCAATATTATTATTGTTTCAACAGTTTTTATTCATTTGAGAATCTGAAATGCAATATAAATAAAAAGTCATCTACATACTATTTTTCTTATTACTATAGTTTTTTTATTTATATGGTAAATCAGAAAAACAAAATTTAAAAAGTTATTCATATATCCACAGGTGATTGTACACAAAAATGCAAATATTTGCTAACATCATCTGAAATGCTCAAAAGATTTTAAACTACTATTGGCATGTTTATTATGATAAATAGAATTAATTTTTGGCTTGGCAGTCAATGCATTAAAGCATTGGTTCCCAACCATTTTTGACTTGCTTACCCCCCTTTGCAGCCCATTTTCACTAAGTTTTATTTCGCATGACATTTTGGTCAATTATACAGCACTGTACAATTACATGTCATTATTTTTTATTTAATAAAACTAAACATTGAATACTGTAAAGTTGCCAAATGCAGAATCTTAATACTCTTATAATATATCTGCCATTATTAATTTTTTTTTTTCATGCACCTCTAAACCACCAAGCACATACCCAGGTATACCCTCAGTTGGGAATCACTGTATTAAAGCATCATTTGAAACACTTTCCTTTTCAGGTTTGATCTGTATGTGCGAGTTTTATTTATTTATTTATTTTTTTGTTTTTTTTTACATTTATAATTTAATCTTATCATTTTAAAATTTGTTATATATCAATTTTTATGCCATTTTTAATGATGCAATGTAAACTTCATTATTTACTATAAAATATCAGAAAATTTAAAAATTCTTTTTCAACAGTTTAAGTTTTCGCCACAAAATATGTATGCAATAAATATTTACAATGACTATTTCACAAGAATATATTTTAGGTAGTATTTATCATAAAAACGGTTAAAACATAATAGTTTGTTTCACTATATATTCATTGCAATTTCATTCACACAGTTTTTCATTTTCTTTTAATAACAGATGGTGGAAAACAGACTTCATTAATATTTTTGAAAATATTTTTTTCATGTGTTATTTGAGACACAAACCATGCATATTTTAACATGTCACAAAATCTGGCACACTCAACTAGTTGTGAATTAGAGATTGCATTTTAATAGCATCTTCATGATTTTTATAATTAGCTATTTCTCTACTGGTTTTAAGAAAATAGCTACAATTTTGTATTATTTTGATAAAATTTTAAACCTATCTATAAAAATAAACATTGACCTAGAGCTTTGTTTTCAAATTTAGACACAAGTATTGACTTGTTTTATACTGTAGGACCAAATTTGTTACCAGTTTCTCCTAAACAGAGCAACACTTTGGATATGAGCTTCCCTGAACAGATTAAGTGACCAAAAAAAAATACAGGTATCACTTGGTTTACATTGATTCACAATAACGCCGCTGCACAATTCATCGTTTTGTGGTATAATTCCCTGATTTTCGTTTCAGTGTTGATGCCTGCAACATACTGAGCCGCGACATTGTACATTCATTAAAACAAAGATTTTTATTGAATATATTTATTTTTTCTGTTTAATATTATTGGGTATGTATACATTTGCATTAAATTAATATTAAAATACTAAACGTTTAGGTTCCCACAAATCAAGTTATTAAACTTAATAGTCCAATAATTGTCGTTCGAATCCAGAGTGCTAACGAATGCGAATAGTTCATATCCCATATCAGTTTGTTCAGGAAAACACCTTACGACACAGTAGCACTTCCGGCGATCACAAATTATTAGTGAGACAAAATCTACTTCTCATCAGTCAGACAATATCTAACTCTTCTTAGGAAGACAAAACCAACTTCAATTTTCCGCCCAAACTGACCTTATATATGAGCTATGGTAGCCAGTGGTCGACCAATCAGAATCTCCGCTCGTCTGTAGCTCTCTGTCGGATTATCATATCCTTTTAACTATGGAAAGTTTGAGGGATAAACTTTGTGAGTTAGATAACAGTTGGGAGCAAAGTGCAAATGTAAAAAGGAGCATCATCGCATCCATTTGACCATATTCCGAAATTATTAATGAAAGAAAACAAAAATCTAAACAATTACAAATGGATACTTTTTTCTGAAAAATGTAAGAGATCTGAAACTTTGAAATATTATTTGTTTTTCTTAAGATTTTTTAATAAAAACATTTAATTTTATTTTATCATAAAATACATTTTTTAAAATTAAATTTCTAATATATGTATTTTGTATTATATTGTATTAATAAGCAAAATTATTTGCTTATTTTTTACTTATGTAGAACCTAACCCTATACCTTGCTATAAATATGGGTTCATTTTACGCCAATTCGATTTGCACTGGCTTTTGTAGGAACGGAACTGCAGTGTAAACCGAGGGCTACCTGTATATATGTATTTTTTCAATGACCTTAAAAATTGAATATAACAAATTTAAACACAATAACATTAAATTATAAATGTAAAAAAAAACCTTGCATTTGGAGATTGAACCCAAAAACAAAAGCATTTCATGTGATGCTTTAACTAATTATGCCAAACTGTGAATTTGTGTATTATTTTTCCATATAGGTATTAATGGTTCTAGAAAGACTTTTATTGCAATTTTCTTGAAATGACTGAATAGTGGGTCTTGCAGTTTACCATTGGTAGAGTATAAGTACAAGTAAATACAGCACATCTACAAAATTTCATCAAAATTGGTGATTACAAACTGCTGGGTTCCCCCTGTAAGTAATTAAAAATTCTCTCATTTCTCATTTGTTGTCAGTGAGAGTTAATTTGGCAGAAGATGTTATTTTCAGTTATTTTCTTCCAGAAGGTTCTAAACTATTTATTATAATTATAATTATTATTTTAGATAAGAGATGGCAGATAACGCTTACCTCTAGTACCAAATTTATTTGTATTAATTATTTGATTATAGTCATATTATAGTCTGAATATTTAGGCAATCGTTGGATTATTATATATTCTGAATTCTGAACTCATGGTTTGTTAGAAAATATTTATTTTGCATTGATAATGATCATAAATTTGAATGGATACTGCTGAGGAAGTTGCCTAGATGTTAAGAAATACAGAATAGTTTCAATAAAATTAAGGAATATAGTATATGAACAGAAAAAAATGAAATTTGACTGTATAATTAATGAATGCTAATGATTATAATAAACACTTGAAGAAATAAAAAGAAGAAAAAAATCATTATATTTGACAGTTGGGTCAAAATACTGTATTTAATGAAATGCATAAAAAAGATCTTGAACTCCAAGATTTTAATAATTTGATATAATTAGTATTGTTTTTCAGGAACTACAACTTCTGTAGAAAAAATATTTTCACTCATGTCAAAAATAAATCAAAATTGAATATTGAAGCCATAAAAGTTCATCTGAAAAATATACTTTGTTTGACTATACAAAACATTCTATTGATATAACCACCTAACTATTAGATATATTATATTGATTTGATCATTTAATTTGATATTATATTTTAATAAAAATATCATTCTTTCATTATTAGATTTTTAAAAATAAAATGTTAGAAAAATTTACATATTCTTTTTAATTTGCCAAATCAATATCAGTAATAATGTACTATCAAATTGTTGATAATGCCCTCTATATTTCTTGATGAATTTTAATAAGAGAGTGCCTATATTCATCAGCTGCACCCCCTCTGTCCTGTTTTGGTGTCAAAAGATTATGGTCAGCCTGAATATAAAAAAATGCATTTTTTGGATGAGTTGTCTGACAAAGGATAAAAATGCTTTTATTAAATCACTTCCTTTCTGTTTGACGTTTCTAGTAATAATAAATGTCAAAATAAGTGTGAAATCATTAAAATTATTTTTTATTTAATTGTCTTAATTTTAGCTTAGTTCAGCATAGAATTTTGATTAGTAATGACATACACTGCTTAGAGTTGGATTTCCTAATGTTGTTATGTTTTTTGGATGGATATTGGAGATTTATCCAAGCATTATTTGATGGATCTGAGTCGCCCCAATGTAGTAGAGATCGTATGTGAATCTGCTGTCTTTTATGGGTATGTTGTAAACACTTGGGACCAGCACCATGTTCAGGGAATCCTTATCATTTCTCATTAATCTATAAACTGTAGGGTTTCTTATTTTGGTGATACTGTGATTAATGGAGTTGCCTCTCTTTAAAAATGTTCTGTAGGGGAGTGGCCTAGTCCACAATAAGGCATCCAGCTTGAAGAATTCCTCCTGGGATGTCCCTTTGCTTTTTCTTGGAATGAATCAATGAAGATTTTAATTGTCCTACATTAGTAACCAAATCTTGCATTGATGGAAATGATGTAATCCAATTCTGTGTTTCTATCCCGAGCATCTGTGCAGTGTGTATGCTCTCTCTTCATCAGCACTCAGAATGCTGCTAGTCTACAGTTCAGAGAGTCATGGGAACTCCAAGGAATGAACAGAGGATTATAGGATTTCCTATGAATGCTCATGAATATGCTACCACTCCTGAGTGTTGTCATAATATGTAGAAAATGCACTTTCCTATCACTTTTCTGCTCCAATTCTAGCGTGAGACCATATGGGTTGTTATTGATGTCATCTATAAAATTTTGAATGATGGGATGCATTTTTCAAATTATAAGAACATCATATATGTATCTAGCATACAATTGAATGCTGGAAATGTTAGTAAATTTTTTGTTGTTTTCAAGGTTATTTTTGTGTGGATTTATTTATATTTGCAATATAGCTCTGATTTAATATTATACTATTTTTGTTCTTACTGTTTTATTATTATTTTAATTTACAGAATCTAAATTTATTTTATAAGTTACCAATTTTCAGTACTATAAAACAGTTACTGCATAATGAAATGCATTGAATATTATTTGAAAGTAAATTTTGCTAATATGCTGAAATTTTGATTTTAGGTGCTTTTAATGGGGAAAAGTGGCTCAGGTAAAACAAGTATGCGGTCTATTATATTTGCAAATTATATTGCACGTGATACTCGACGCCTCGGTGCTACTAGTAAGTAGATTTTAAAATAATTATTTCAAATTTAATTAATAATTTTTTACAGTTAATTTAATAAATACATTTAAACAAAAAATTCTATATACAGTCGACCCCCCTATAAGATATAGATACGTTCCATTCTTTAGGAATCCGATTTCTTACTAATCCTTCCAATCACAATCCGACACGTGTCAAGTTTACGGACTACAGCTGTTTGAAAGTTTTTCTTCCATAAAATTAATCGATTCTAGACTAATCCGACTCAACATTTCCAAAATACGTATATTTTTTTTGGGAATAATCCGTATAAACTATGCTATAAACAAAAAATTGTAGGATTACTTACCGAGTGTGCACCGCCATTGCTAATGCTTGTTTTCGTCGCAGAGCGTCCCTTCGCGACGAAAACAAGCATTAGCAATGAAGAAAGTTTTCTGATAACTTATTTTTCTGCGAAAACTTCGTTGAACTTCGAAGACATCATTAATATAAATAATTTTTATCGCCGTTGAATAAGAAATGTTTCTTTCACAAGAAATGTATAAAATTACACTTAAATTACAAATGTATTAGACTTACGGTAGCTAATTTACATACTGTACAGACGATAGTTAGCGTAAAATCTCCGTAGCGTAACGCCACGCGGCGGAAAAAATATATATAATTATAATAAAGTTACAATAAATTAANCATACAGTATATAGAAATTACTGTATTTGCTTCAATAGAAATGGGTGACCTCTAGCAGAGGTGCTATGAATTACAAAATGGCAAAGATAGTGGGTATAGTAAGAAGATTGCAAATGGAGAGCAACAGAGCAAAATCAAATACAGTTGACCCCCCTATAATTACGGTCCCTATAATTACGATTCCTATAAAACTATGAAAAAATTGTGACCAGTATCCGTAAAAAACAGTAAAAACCCCCTATAATTATCTCAAACATCATCGGGCAGCCGAACTACTTTCCACGGCGGGAAAGTAGTTCGGCTGCCCGATGACGTTTTACATAATTATAGGCGTTTTTTTACTTTTTTTTACGGATACCGTCACAATTTTTTCGCAGTTTTATAGGAATCGTAATTATAGGGGGGTCGACTGTAATATTATGTTAGTGCAAATATAATTGTGGATTTTGTCATTTTAAACTTTATTGCTTATTTTGCTTATTTTAGAATAAACATATTTAACTACATTTATGTAATATATCATATTAAAGCATAATATTCACTCTAGTAATTTATACTAAAATGTTTTGTTTTCATTGCTTATTCTTGTTTATTTTGGGCTGTCAAATTAAAGATGGAAAAAAATCAAATTTGAACAATTTTATTATGAGAGTTTAAAATGGGATGTAAAGTAGTGGAAACAGTTTACAATATCAATCAAGCATTTGTTCAGAAACTATCAATGAATATACAGGTCAACATTGATTTGAAAAATTTTGTAATGAAGATGAGAAAGATCACAGATATCTTTCTGTGATTGATGATAACTTGTTGCAGGCCCTTATTGAAGTGTACTGTGCTAACCGAGGGGGCTGAAGCGGAGAGCTTCTCCCCACTTACCAGCTTGGCTGTCAGGAAATGGCTATAGGAGGGCAAAGGAGTGGGAGGCGTAACGATCAGGTGTCCAAAAGACTACACGGGTTTAAACAGACAACACATTTAATAAACAGATGAGAAATTATACATAAAGATAATAAATATAACACTCGCGTATCAAGATATAAATAGGTATTCTAAAATCTAACCTAATGCTAAAGTTCGAGAGAGACCTCACGTTGGAGAGAGATAATTATGACAAGAATTTACCTCGAAGGCAACGTTCTCATATTATAGGGCGTTGATAACACACTCTGTGATCGTCGTCTTCTATTCCGAGGTGTCCTTTGAAGGCTATGTGGAGCGATGTCCTTCTCAGGTCATGCGGCTATGTCCCGATGCGGTGTATGCTCCGTCGCTCCTAATCTGTAGAGAGTTCTTCCTGGTGAAGTTCTCTCGGAGGTTTCTTCTGTTAACCTCTTCAAGGAGTATTTCCGTCGTATGTGAAGAGAATAGAAAAATATTCAAAGTTTTTACCTTGTTATGGAGCGGCGATTATGAGCTGCTTAGATCCTGAGAGAGCTGGAAGATCCTGCGTCGATGTTTCTTCCCCGATGATCGCTCCTGAGGTGTCAGATCGTTCCCCTTTTATACCCTTTAGCGTGGGAAAAACCTGGGAATTTGTTGACGTCTTTTGACAGTTCTCCCTGATTTATGACAGTCTCCTGCAACTTATCTCCTTATACAGTCATTCTTTTCGTCCGGTCGCTCGGACGTATGGGGGTCACGTGACATTGTGGTCCCTCGTCGATGACCTTCGGACAATGAAAGTCACCCTCGCTAATTATGCAGTTAGTGTGAAAATAAAAACAGTGTCCGTATTCTCACAGTACTGATACAAAACAACTTGAGAGGTTGCAGAAGAACTAAATATTAACCATTTATCAGTAGTATAACATTTGCAACAAATTGGAAGAAAAAGAAAGCTTAACAAATGAATGTTGTATGAGCTGAATAAAAACTAGAAAATTCCTCATTATAAAGTCTGGTCTTCACTTGCAAAAACAACTCATTTCTTGATTTCATTATGACATGATGAAAAGTGGATTCTACACAGCAGTTGATGGCATTCTGCAGAGTAGCTGGACTGAGATTTGATGTCAACACATTTTTCCAAACCAAAGCTGCATCAAAAGAATGTTATTGTTACAGGTTATAGTGGAATCTACAACTTGAATCCTGAAACCATCACAGCAGAGAAGTACTGCCAGAAAATTAATATGCTGCAATGTTTATGTCTAATAATTGATCAGTCAAAAAGGACCAATTGGTCTCCATTAAAATACATGACTGTTTATCTTGCAAATGACTGCAGAAATTGAATGAACTGGGCTATGAAACTCTAACTCACCCAAATTACTCATCAGACCTTTCTCTGGCTGACTACTACTTTTTCAAGCATCTTGATAACTTCCTGTGAGAGATTTTCAATAATCAAGCAGAAATCAAAATACCTTCTGAAAAATTGATATTATGACTTCAGAATTCTATGCTACTGAAATAAGCAGACTTCGTCCTTAATAGCAAAAATTTATAGATTCTAATAACTCTTACTTCAATTAATAAATTTTATTTATTTAATTTAATTTAATATTAAATTAAATTTTAAGCTGAGATATATTGCTTTAATGTTGGTAAAAAAATAATATTTTTATTTCAATCGTTCAATGTTTTGTTCTTATTTTTTGTACTTTCCAACATGGAACTATTCGACATTGATGCACAGAACAATTTTGTTACACAATTTAGAGACTTTCTCAAAATGATATAAGGTATCTTCACTTTCACAAAATGCATTTTGGATCTGAAATCCATCTACAGGTTTAACAGTTTTTTTTTTTTTTTTTTTTGAGTAAAGTACTTTTTAAGTTAAATAATACATTACATAAAAACCATGACATTTTATAGAAATCACAATCTAAACATGTTTTATATAAAAAAAATTATATTTTAACCTCTATTATACCCGTAATGTGATTCACCATTTGATGAATCTTATTTGCATATTGATTACATATAGTTGCCAAGTCTATGGGATGGAGCTATAATAATTACTTTAAAAATCAATCCTAAATATTCAGTTAAAATTACCATAATTAAAGTAATAGAATTCTACCAGCCTAATGCCAACTGTAGAGTTCTTGTAACATATCAATTACTCTATTGCCATCTGGCTTCTACTTTCTTTTTTAATATTTTGTTAAGATTTAATCTGCAATTATTTAATAAACATTTCTTATATCTAATCATTCAACACACTATTATTATTATTTGTTAAAGATCTCTACTTACATTATTTTTTCAGCTGGTGTTCCTCCATTCACATTACATCACCATCAATCAGTGCTTAAATTCACAACACTTTTGTGATAGCATATTGCATGTTTCACATGACCTTTTTTATTATAATAAGTTTTGTCAACCTTTTACACTAAACAGTATTTTTATTTAAATTACTTATTGGTTTAGTTATAAAGTAACTTTCTGTAAATTTTCAACAATAATTATTATTCTCATGACTTAAAATAGTTATATTGCTTCTATCAGTTTTACAATTATTAGTATATTACAGGGGTGGCCAACCTGCGGCTCTTTGAAGGATTATTTGTGGCTCTCGATAAATGTACCTGAGTTCCCTTTTCATTTTTGTGTTATTATATTTTAAAAATTATTATTGTTCCGTATGTGTTTCAAAATGTCTTTTAAATTACTAACAACAAATATGAAAGACTAAGTGCAACGTTGTAACAAATTTCATTTCCGTCCAAGTTAAGAATGATATGACTCATCGAAAACTGCGCGAACGAACATAAACAGTGGCGTAATCGTCCGTTATCGACCGACTCCAGACCGATTTTGAATTTGTAAACTGTCATTGCAACGGACAGTTGACATTGTGCTCTGGAGGAAACAATTTGTATCACTCTTGCTACGGATATAATTCATAATCTGGAATTTTTTGCATACCTTTTTAATACGTATTTAATTGCGGCTCACGAAAAATTTCAAATTTTGAAAAATGGCTCGGACTATCAAGGAGCTTGGCCACCCTGGGTATATTAAAAGTAATCATAAAAAATCTGATAGTAATCTTATAATATATTTTAGATCTGCTAGAAGTTTCTTTAATCAAGTTTTTACTTTGTTCCATTTCTCCAATATAAAAATTAGTATTGCAATATGTGCAAAGTATTAAGTAAACTGTTCCTACAGAATTTTCTACATATGCAGTGGGTGATCGTTTAACGAACATAATTCATTCCAAGACTGTGTTCGTTATCCAAATTGTTCATTAACCAATTATCAATTTACCATAAATTTTTATGGGAATTTGATTAATCCATTCTGGAGACCCAAAAACATAAAAAATTATATACTTTCTTACTATGTTTATTCATATGTAATAA